AGAATCTAATATCTTAATTTTGTATCTAATATTTTAATTTTTGTGATTTGTGACGTGATTTAATAGCGCTAGTGACGTGATTTGAATGCGCTATTGGAAGGCATTACGATTTGCGGGAAAATAAATAGCACTTGAGTGCTATTTATTTTCCCGCAATTCATAATGTCTAATGATTTAAATCACGTCACTCTACGACTCATTTTACTCAGAAAGTCACGCAATTCAATGTACACTCTGATTGCGAGAAAAATTTTTATTCAGCTAGATTTTTTTGGTAATAATTTAATTTTAACGTAAGGGACAGATTGTCCCGGGCGGCAGATTTCCAAGAGGCACCAAATAGAATGAAGGTACCTTGGAACAAAGGTCCTTTACCGATAATATAGGAGAATTTCGATAATTAAGAACGCCAATCATGTTGCTGTCCCGGGCGGCGAAACAGTTCTTGGCGGCATTTTATATACATATATATATATATATATATATATATATATATATATATATATATATATATATATATATATATATATATATATATATATATATATATATATATATATATATATATATATATATATATATATATATATATATATATATATATATATATATATATAGTTATTTGTTATTATTTAATTTTTTTACAACACTTTTATTTATATACATTCAATAAAAATAGTTTTTAATTATTTTTTAATTATAACATACTTTTATTTATTTCCATACTTATAATGTTGTGTAGCGCAGGTGGTAAGGCACTAATGGTCTAGTGATCCGGGTTTCGAAACCCACCACCGATAAGTTTTTCATTTTTCAAAATAAATTTAAAAAATTGAAAATCTTACGAAACCTTTAAGATACCCTACAGGATAATCACAGGATTTCTTATGATCTTATAGGATTTGCAAGACAAATAAAATCTTACGAATCCTTTAAGATACCCTATGGGTAATCACAGGATTTCTTATGGTCCTATAGGATTTGAAAGACAAATAAAATCTTACAAATCCTGTAAGATATCCTGTAGGATAGTATAAGATTATATGCGATCCTATAAGACTCATAAGTTGTCTGTAAGATAGTCGACTAGTGTAATTTCATGACATTTATGAATTTTCGGAGTTATATAGAAACTACTAGATTTCCATTTAAAATTTGTGATGTAATTTATTTCATTTTTTGTTAGAAAATTATATTTTCCTATCGTTTTTATTAGATCTCTAAAAACTATTTTATGTGATTCAGGTTTTGTCCTTTCATAAGTACTTGCAAGCTGGTGGTCTTGATGAACTAATTTTTCATTATAATAAGTTGAATTCATTACAATAAAAGTGTTTCCCTTGTCTGCTTTTTTATTAACTATATTTTTAATTTCTTTTAGATCTTTTAATGCTATCCTTTCTTGTTGAGTAATGTTGTCAACTGACTGCATTGTTATAGGTTTAATTTGTTTAATTTTTGAAATGATTTCATCAAGATATGGTAGAGTTGTTTTAATATTAAACTTGACTTTTTTTAATTATGTTTATATCTGTCTACTCCGTTCCATAAAGTTTTTCTTTAAGTATTTGTTTTCTTGTGAATTGTTTTATATCAGAATCAATGTGTAAAATATTTTCTTTAGTAGTAAGGCAAAATTTTGGACCTTTTGTAAGAAGTGATACTTGAGATGTTGTCAGGTGTTTAGTTGATAAGTTGATGACTTTAAACAACAGAAAAAAAACCCCGGATATTTACTATAAAGAAACCAATACTCATAACTACTGTTGGCTTTTACAGATTAAAATTTTTGGTCAGCAACATGCTTCCATTATAAATCCTTGCCTGGGACATGTCGTATTTAATTGAGGGCTTTCTTTACTTTTTTATTACTAATAACAAAGGTCGAGAAAGAACTTTTTGCATACACGTATTGTGTTATTACAATTATGAATGTAAAACAAAGTTGCACTATATATATATATATATATATATATATATATATATATATATATATATATATATATATATATATATATATATATATATATATATATATATATATATATATATATATATATATATATATATATATATATATATATATATATATATATGCTCTCAACTTTTTATTTGGTTCCATTTAATGAAAAAATGATATTGGAAATTTTCGGATACAATCTGTTGATGATTAGAGCTAGCTCAGGCCAGTTTTTTAAGTTTGCAAGGTTGCCTGAACCCACATTTTTCATATTTTATTACTTATCTCCTTTTACTAATTAAGTTGAGAATGTTATCAACATTTTATTATTTGTTAATCTTTCGAGTCATTATGCATAATGCACATTGATATTTTTTTCATATATATATATGTATATATATATATATATATATATATATATATATATATATATAACATCTTAAATTATTCTACAAATAGAGTGCTCTATGTTCTTAAAGAACAAAGCAATAATAAATTAGTAAAATCACTTATCTAACTTTTTTCTTAAACAACTTAAAGGTCTTAAAGGTTGTTGAAGAAAAAACTGAGACAAGTGTTTTTACTATATTATATATATATATATATATATATATATATATATATATATATATATATATATATATATATATATATATATATATATATATATATATATATATATATATATATATATATATATATATATATATATATATATATATATATATATATATATATATATATATATATATATATAACTCTATTTTTGTTCAAAACCGAAATTTTACAAAAGGTATGTATTTCAGAAATAATGTTATATTTTTTAACTGGGACTTGGAAAGATCTTTTTTGAACTTCTTTTTATTGTCCCAGGCCACCAGTATTTAATTTTGTTGCATATTATCAGATTTGTGTCTGCTTACAAAGTCCTAAATAAGGCATATGTTTTTGTCTGCACAATCATTGACGCAAGTCAAATATTTAGCAATATCTTTGAACAAATTTAATATCTTCGAAGCTTTTTTCTAACTTTGCAGCTCTATTTCATCATTAGAGATGTCTGCAATTTTCAACAGGACCCAACTTTCTAGACCAACCAGTTCTTAAAGCTTATTGGAAACCGATATAATCGGTAGCTAAACTTTCCAATCTTGAACTTGTCAGGAACGTCATACTAAACTAATCTATCCAACATATTTTGTTTCACTTTCTGCTCTACATCTTAATCAGCCAGAGATAGCAGGACCTAGCAACTAATGCCAAACCAAGATTTATTTACTGCATTTTTTTATTTACATGTTATTTATTATACTTATACATATATTTTTCAATATTCTGTACCTAGCTTCATGGCATGTTCCAAGTTGATAGAACAAAATCCAGGTACTTCTCCTCCCAAATAGAAACAAAAAGAAGCAGTTTCATAAAGGGGTGACCCAGTGTGATTGGGATTGCAAAAGATGTTGCACACTTTTTATGAACGCGTGGATGTATTTTGTCGCGATCCATGGCTTTATTTTCTGATATTTATTTTTTTTCTACTTCACACTCACGAATGCTGTTTTTATCAAGCTGACATATGGCGTGTGAGCGTCGATCAAAAAGTGGCATAGAGCCTTCTTGTTTAACTGCAAACACTGCTTGCAAATAATTATTTAGTATTGCGCAAACAATATATTGCGAAATATTAAGTTAAACATTATTAAACAATATTAAATATATTGCGCAACCTTTTTAGTAGTTGTTAAATTGTTTGTTGTTTTTAGACTGTAAATTTGTTCATGTACTTATTGTTTGTTGCAAATATGTAAGTACAGTTTGGGTTAGACTTAGATAAATAAGCTAATTCTTCCTCATATGAAAGTATGTCTTTTTTAACTAATTTTTAACATTTTTAAATGCAACTTTATGTGAAATTGCATGAGTATGCCAATTTAAATTTGCATGAGTATGCCAATTTAAATTTGCATGAGTATGCCAAGCGGCAGGCAGCGATGTATTTGAGCTATAACTAAATAAGCTATATAATATATTTTCTTTTACTGCTGGTATTATTTCCGGTGTAACTTATAGTTTTTTTTTTTTTTTTTTAAGGTGGAACTAAAGTTAATGGTATGTGTTCTGCAATGGATTTTCTGTAGATATTAACAAGTAAGTTATCGTTAGCTGTATAACCTCAAACGCGGTAGTTGTTTGAAGCTATTTTGGCAGATATTGCATTATATTCGGCTCAACTCAATTCAATTATTTGAGTTAGGATAATGTCATTAATGCCGGGTGGTTTATATATAAAACCTAGTAACCTAGTAACAATGATTTGCCATCAGATCTAGATCTGATGGCGAATCGTCACAAAAAAATTTATTTCAACAAATTTTTAATTTTTAATAAATAAATAAATATATATATATATATATATATATATATATATATATATATATATATATATATATATATATATATATATATATATATATATATAAATATATGTATATATATATATATATATATATATATATATATATATATATATATATATATATATGCATATATATATATATATATATATATATATATATATATATATATATATATATATATATATATATATATATATATATATATATGACAGTAATAATTAGTTTTAACAAGAAATAGTTGACTTTGAAATGTGCACACACTTTTAGAGGAGTATTTTTGTAAACCTTGGTAAATATACGTTTATTAAAGTTAATAAAATATATTTATAAACCATGTTATATCATACTATTATTTGTACTGTTTAATTTTTAAAATTTTTTAACAAAATTTCATGTTTTTCTTACAATTTTATTGAATTTAGTATAAAAATTTAAAATAAATATTCTACACGAATAAGTTTGGAAAAAAAAACTCATCGTGAATTAAAACTTTTTTCATACCTATTACGAAGACCTTTTTAAAAATGCATAACGACGCATGTTTTAAAGGCATTTTTTATTCAGCCTTTCGTTTAATCCTTGAATAAACGCTATTTATATAACTTTTTTAGCAAATAGTTTTAAACTCGAGAAATAAGAGCTAAAGCTTTGAACAGAAAAGTTTAAAACATGTATAAAGTACATCTTTTAATTTTATTTAACGTTTTCCTTATTGCAGAAGGGTTTGAGGACATAGCGTTTGCAGATGAATCGACGTTTGCGCATAATTATGTGAGAGCTTTGCACTTGGTGTCGCCCTTGGTTTGGGATGAAGGGTTAGCGTCTATGGCAGAGCAGTACAGTAAAGTTTTGAGCCATAAAGGAACATTTATGGAAAAATCTAAAAATGCTCAAAGTGGCTATGTAGGAGAGAATATATTTAAAGGTTTCGATCGATTGAAATTTCCTAAGACCATGGCTGACGCAGTTTACTTTTGGTTAAATTTTATTTTATACCCATCATTAGATATTTTTATTTAACATTTTAACTTTTTTGAAAATTTTGTAACTTCATTTTTTATTTTTTAAAAGTTTGTGTTACTTTATAGGTACTACGAGATTAATGGTTATCCATTTGATAGCGATAACCCTGACGATGAGAAACACGGACATTTTACTCAAGTAACTTGTGTTTATTAATTAAAATTTATAAATAGGGAAAGGTTGCGTAAGTTGAGCATATTTTAAGGGTAATGTATTTTGCTCCCAAAAGATTACAAAATAATATATATTGTTTTAAAAATACTGATTGTTTAATCCTTCCTCTCAAAGAACATAAATAAAAAAGTTCATTTAAAAAAAAAATTTATACTAAAAATTGCGTTATCTTTAACACACCCAATCATTTCATCTTAGGAAACCAGTTTCCTAAGATGAACTTTTTTAATTGAACTCAAAAAAACTCAAAATAACTATTAATAATCACAAAAAAAAAAAAAATTGCATCTTCAAGGTATATACTTAAGTAAAAAGTAATTATCTCAACCTTAAAAAAAAACAATAATAAATCTTTTTTATCTCTAAAAAAGTTAACGATACTATTTTTTGAAAAACTTTTGCTCATGAAATACCAAAATAAAGCTCCGCGGAGAATAACTTTAAAAAAACGTGCTAGAGCGTCTAAAAACGTATCATCTCAGACAACTTTACCAAGTACTATCATATCTTAAATAGTATGACAACAGCTTATGTATTATCTCATGTAATCCATGGAAATAGCAGTAGATAAGCATAAAATATTAGAGATGTCATAAATTTTTGATGATCTTGTTTTGTTCTGACGTAATTACAAAATATTGAATAATAAAAAATTATATCGGGGATGGTAAACTTTTTTAACAGTAAAACAATCAAAGAATATTAACTATACAACCAAAAAATTAAAATAAATGACACCATCGAACTTTTATGAATACCCTTAACCAAAAAAATTTGCGAAAAAATCATTAGCCTACCCGTGATAGAGGTTGTACCATCTTAGGAGCCTGCTCATCATTTTTTAACATGAAGTTAAATAATTTTTTTTTCTAATTTAAACTAGTTATTAATAATCTAAATTAATGTTGAAGCAAGTTTAAGATTGATAAACAACTCGATAGTACAAATATTATATATGAATAACACTTGTTTTGTTTTATCAAAATAAATTAGTGTTTAAAACATGCCAGCTGCAGTTGCAATGTTATTTATATTAATTAAATGCTAATTTAAATTATTTATCTTTTACTTGCAATATAATTTACCAAAAGTTTTCTTTATTTAAATATCAGTGTGAAGTTTGTGATAACTTTATTTTTTTTATATATAATTTAATTTTAGTCTGTTCAAATAGAAAAAATAAATTAGATCAAACGTTAAATGAACTAATTATAAAGTTTCGAATTTATTTTTTTAAGGTAGTCTGGAATTCTACAACTCGAGTAGGCTGCGGTCGTGTCACTAAAGAAGAGTATGGTGGATTAATGACCTATATTGTCTGTAACTACACTCCTAAAGGAAATATTCACGGGATGTTTAAAGTTAATGTTTTGCCTCTAGCTAACAACGGTATGCAAACAATAATAGTTAACTTTATAGGAATATTTTTTTTAAATTGTTAATTAAAAATTTCAAAAGGTTGCATGCAGAAAATTCGATTTCGGTTTACTAAAAAGTTATAACTATAACTTTAAAATTAAATTTTAAATATTTTCTATATAAATCAATTTATTTTTATTTTTTGCTGCAACAATAATTGTAAGCATTTTGAAAATTTTATGCAATTTGAAAACTTGTTTTTTCAAATTAAATAATCTTTATTAAGTGATTTCTAAAAATTTTCAACTTTTTTTACTTTTTCATGAAAAATAAATATCATTCCACCAGGAATACTTGCAGTTAAAAAAAAACTAGTGTGGTTATCGACTTCGACTAAATCGATTAAAATTTGACTAGTCGAAAGTTTAAATTAGTCGACTTTAAAAATAGATTATTCGATTAAATCGTTTAAAATTTCTACAAACCGATTAAAAGTTGATTTAGTCGAGTAAAAATTTTAAAATCCTTAAATATCTTTTCATTCGATTTAACTTTTTAATATTAAATTTTTGTTTATTCATTTAATAACAATAGTTATGTACTACTATAACTATTACCTAGTTTTTTGTTTTCTCTCTTAAAATTTTGCTCTCTTAAAGTTTTATCCAATTCATAGCATGTTAGCATTATTTATACCTAATTAAATTGTGATTAATTATTTCATTAATTTTTTTTGGGCCTCTCCAACCTAGCTCAGGACAAAATCTAAATGTCATTAAGCCGGGTGAATAAAAAAACAATTGCTTTTACTCAATGTTTTTGGAGTAACTGCTCATCCTTACGTGAATAAAATTTTTAGCGATTTTATTCATATTTTTATTCACGTAAAATTACTCATCATTTTTGGAGTAAGTTGCTTAGCTTTACGTTCATAAAAACTTGAGCAAAATTGTTAAAAATTTTATTTATGTAAAGCTAAGCAACTTACTGAGTAATTGCTCAGTTTTACGTGAATAAAAATTACTTAGCTTTATATGAATTACGTGAAACTTGAGCAAAAGTGTTAAAAAATTTATTTTAGTAAAGCTGAGCAATTACTCAGTAATTGCAATTGCTTCTCTTATTCACCCGGCCTTTTTACTCTTATATATTTGAATCGACCAATATATTTTCTAAAATCCATTTTAGTCGACTTCAGAAAATATATTAGTCGATTTAGTCGACAGTCGAATCATTTAATAGTCGTAACAACACTAAAAAAATCGGGTACTTGTAGTTTGTTTTTTTAAAAAAAATTCCATGAGTAAAAAATCCTTTTTTATATTAAATTTAAATCAAATAAAAATTTCGGACTAAAATAAGTGACATAAGTAAACGTATAAAAACAAAATACTTATTTTTTTCTTTAAAAGTAAGATATCAAAACCAAAGATTTAATAATTTACGTTTCTAAAACTTTATATCAGTACCAGGTTTTTTTAAAAAAACAATTTTATATGTACACTATCAAATAAATATATAATCAATAATATATATATTTTTTAAATGTACTATAATTTTACAAACTTTCCTTCCCCTTTAAAAAGTTGAAATTACCAAATGGATCGGGAGGAGGGGGTGGGAGTTGATTTTTAATAAATTGAAAAATTATAATTAATAAAGTGTTATTTTCATAAACTTTGTATTAATTAAAAAAAAATTTCTGATTATTTTTTTACTATGTATTTTTTTTTTATTTTTATTTTTAAGGCTATGTATGCAAGATATTTTCATTTACTTTTACTAAATTAAGTTTCATAATGAGAACAAACAACGCAGAACAAAAATATTATGACAATAAAAATATTAATTTTTCTTTGCTATTTGCTTTAAATCATCCAACATTCCATTTTTTTTTTTTTTTTTTCTACTTTTTTTTATATAGAACCAGTTTTATCTGCTGATCAGCTTCACTCACTAACAGGATGTGTGGATATTCATAAAGATTGCGAAAAGTGGGTAGGCGTATGTCGTCAAGAAATATTTAAAAACGCAATGCTGAAATACTGTAAAAAAACATGTATGATATGTTAAAAAAATTTTTGTATGATTTAAAAAAAAAAAAAACTGTTGATGTGCTAATAAAACAAATTTATACAGCTTCAATCGGTTTTAACTTTTTTTTTTTTGGGACAAATTTTTAAAGTTTTGACGGTATTTAATGTTTGTCAAATAAAATATTCTCTCCATTTTCTTAAAAACCGTTCAAAACATCTCCATTTTCTTAAAAAACCGTTTAAAACATCTCCATTTACTTAGAAAACCATTCAAAACATCTTTATTTACCTAAAAATTTATGTTTAATATGAAACTGATTATATCAAATTATTAAATTAAAACAATATTAAATTAATTGTCCATAACTTAACTGCCTTAAAAATTGGCTGCCACGAGCTGTCCTGAAAAAAGATATACATATTAAAAATGTATCGTTATACTAAAAATGAAATTCGATAAAATTTTAGTGCATTATATAAATGATCGTTAGCTAGGAAGTTTGGTAGTAAATTGAAGTTATTGTCTATGTACCTCATTAGCTAGGAAATTAGGTAGTAAATTGAAGTTATTGTCTATGTACCAAACTTTAGGTCGACACCTCTATATGTTCATTATATATTGGTATTTAACAACAAAAAAAAGAATGTTGCAAAAGATGCTGAGTCAGCATAAATAAGAAAATTGAAACTTGAATATTTTTAATATACAATTTTTTTATAATATGTTATATACATTTTCTATATTTATATTTTTTATAAAAGATATTTGTTACGGTTATTTAGAATGGCCTCAAGGGAAAATAACGTGTGCGATGTATTTACACGTCCAATTAACTCATCAGATTCAATTATAATTTCACTTTATGTATGAGTGTTAAAAATAAAACAGATTCTTTCAAAAGAAGTTATAAATGTTAACGAAAAAAAAAGTAGTGACAAAATGATGACGACACGTCAAATGACGTGTCGTCATCATTTTGTCAGATCTTTATCAATTTAATAAAAACTTTAGTACAGATGTAAAAGTAAGTAATGTTTAGAATAAAAAAATGTATAACTCTATTTAAAAAAAAACAAAAAATGTTGAAAATATATTTAAAAAAATCTTTTCTTTGTAATTTTTCCTCAAAAATTATTTATTTGACCTTATAAAAAAAACTTACAGGAGGAGAGGGGGGAAGGGCAAATGAATACCCCCCTAAGTTTTTGAGAGGACTTTTTTTTTTTTTAATTTTTATCTATAATTATTTTCCATTGATTTTTAACTAAATTTTAACAAACTTTTGCTAATTTTAGGCAATATTTTGGTGCTTTCACCTTCACCATCCTCATTGGAAAAAATCCTATAGGCGTCTATGCTAATTTCTCTAAAACTACTAGTCAAAACAGTATAAAATTTTAGAAATGAGTACTTTTATGTATTTTTTTGTTGTTGTTGAAAATAATAATAGCTTAATGCAAATATGGAGATAATATATTTTTAGCTACCCTTTTGTATGGAACGGTCCTACTGTGTATTAATTGTAACTTGGTGTCAATTGCTGAGGACTTAGTGCCAAAAACATATTTCTATGGTTCTTGACAACTTAAATTACAAATTAAAACCACACACACAAAACAAAATTGTTCAAGATAGAAAGCTTGCAAACATAGATAATCTTACGAATGAGATGAAAAGTATGAGAGTTTTAAACTAAGAAAAACTATACCAAAAACTTGTTTTTATGTTTAAATATAAAAACAACACGCTCCCAAATTCCTTACTAATTATATTTTCCTCAATTTTATCGCAAAGTTTTAACTTGCGTTCAAAACGTTTTAATAATTATTATCATATTTAAATTATCCTGCAAGCCCCCAAAAAACACAAAAATGTAAATGGGCTATCTTCGTTTAAACGGAAAACAAAATTGCATTTTTTTAATATTTAAAAAATGTCATTGTAAAAAAAAAAAAGAAAACCAACAAATAAATAACACAATCTACAGCTGTAAATAATTTTAAATCTACTGTAAGCTTAAAGATATATAGCGCTAAATGGAGAATATACAAAAAGATTTTTTTTGATGTCAAAAATTGAGAGCTATATAAAAAAAGAGTTTATTTTAATTTCATTTTTAGGTATTATAACATATCTGATTACATTATATAAATAAAAATCATTATTATATTCCAAGTTTCCGTTAAACTGCCTGTTCTTTCGTAAGTGTAACAAATTTCTTCATGTCATTTGTCTACACCATTCGTTTTACCTCTGCAAGTAAAAAAAACTGGTCTGTTCTACAACTAAAAACTATTTGCTTCAATCTTTATGGTCGACATGTTTACACTGTAATTGGCAATATCAATAAGATCATTTAGACTTTCATAAAACTCCTTTTGAATAGACAGATTTATTACCCATTCTGAGTGCAGTTTGCGAGCATGTTCAACTACGTAGCTTCTGGCTTTTTTAAGTATTTGGGCCATCTTCCAAATTCTAACAAAAGTCAGAATACTAGCAATAAAAGTAAAACGGCTTTGTCATTATCTTTCTTCAAATGTATGTTCTTGTTAATTTAAATAGGAGAATAAAATGCTTGATGACAATGCCGCATGACAAAAGTTTCATTAATAGTACCGACTAATCAAATAGATCTTGCTGGTCGTGTACTACATACGCTTATTGCTTCAGAGTTATGTTCCCAACTCTACCTCAGTGTTCCTAATTTTGCCTCAGTCTAATAAATCTGAAAATTATAACTAATTGTAACTAAAAAATTATTGAACAGTAATTGAGTGAGTTTTTAAAGACACGTGAATTAAAATAAACATAACAAATACATGCAATAACATAAACATAAATAAACATATGCATTAACATAAGCATTGTTAAACACATGCAGTAACATAAATATAACTAAACTTATGAATTAACATAAACATAATTAAACACATGCAATAACATAAACACATGCATTAACGTAAGCGTAATTAAACACATGCATTAACATAAACAAGTAAGCTGTAAAATACGTATTTGTTTAGACAATCTATGAAAAATGGTAAAAACGTACAAAATAAAATTAAAATGATACATTTTGAAGTCCTATTCAATTCTAAAATATTTTGGCTGAGTCTTAATTTGACATCATCAAAATTTGATGGTGCTCTGTGATAAGACCATAAGGACTATGGCCTTATCACAGAGCACCGTGAATGAGCATTTATTAGGAAAGTCACGCCACCTTCCTAACCAATGTCGCAAAACTTGCCCAAAGGAGGGGTTTGAACCGCGGATCCTTTGTTTCTGAGACTACTGCACTGCTACTGCGCACTGGCTTCTAGTTAATTGATAGTTAATATTCGTTTGTTATTTTATTCTTCAAATTTTTTCGTACCCGCGTTAAAAGTTTTTAATATTTATTATTATTAAATATTTTGCATTTATGTCAGAACGTAGCAACCTATTTAAAAAACTATTATTGCACCATTATTTTATGTTTATCTATTGCTAATTACTTGGGTTATACGAGAGAAAACAAAAGCTGTTGTCAAGCAATTTAAATTTTGAGAGCCGTGGGTGATGGTGCTATGCATGATAAATTTTAAGACACATAATATGGTATAGGTTATCTCAAAGCAAATGCTTTTTTATATATATTATTTTCCACAACTAATAGAAAATTTCTCTAAATATTAAGTTTGCCTGTTATTAGGGTAAAGTAGGGTAATTTCGGCAGGGAGATAATTTCGGCACCACTTCAAAAGACACCTAAAAATATTTATTTAATGAAATATCAAAACTATAATTGAGTATTATAGAAAGATAAACAGTTTTTCTAAAAAATATTAGTTTAAACTTCTATTTTTACATTATAGGTACGTTATTTTATGATTATTAGGTTTTTCTTAACATTTTTTCCTTTTTGAAAATAGAGGATAAATGATTTTTTCCGAAAATTTCTACCAAAAATTTGTATTTATTTCATTCAAAAATATATACTGAACAAAATGTGAGCAACAATAAAATTAAACTCAAAGTATTTTACAAGATATAAGAGTTTCCCCTAGGACTGCTTTAAGGAGATAATTTCGGCTTATAAATAGTTCTTAATTTCTGCAGTGCCGAATTTGCCGACCTGTTGTTTCTCCAAAACTAAAATGGAAATAAACGTTTTAAATATTATGTATAGAAGAAATTGATTTTAGTAACTCAGATAATAGTAAACTAATAACGAGCTAGTAAAAAAGTGAATTTAGTTAGTGTCACTGTGAAACTTATCAAAATAATAGTTCCCCACAATATATTTTAAATTTATGTCATACATAACAATATGTATATAATAAATTTATAATTTGTTATATACAATAATTATTATTGTATATAACAAATCATTTATTAATTATATACATACTGTTGAATATTATTAAATAATATACATATAATAATAATAATATATATACATTTATATAAATATATATATATATATATATATATATATATATATATATATATATATATATATATATATATATATATATATATATATATATATATATATATATATATATATATGTAAACATAATTTTACAGCATCTAATGATATATGTAAACATAATTTTACAGCATATAATGAGTTCAAAACGTGTAAAATATGGTAATTGGTTACAAGAATCATTAAAAATGGCAGTAAGTGCAGTTTTAGTTGATGGTTGCTCGAAATATTCTGCTGATAAACAATATAAAATACCAAGACAATCACTACATGACTATATAAAACGAGCACCTGTTGATAATTTTGTTAAAAAGTTACGTGCAGGACACCCAACAACACTCTCAGCTTTTCAAGAAAAAGAGCTCGTAGAAGTTCTTCTGACCATGTCACAGAGATTGTTTGGTTTGTCTCCAAAAGATGTAAAACAAATGAAATTTCAGTTTTGTGAAGAAAATAGAATTATTCACAAATTTAATTGTGAAACTAAGTCAGCAGGAAAAGAATGGTTTAGGGGTTTTTTGAAACGCCATAATGAACTCTCTGTCAGAGTTGCTGAGTCAACGTCATTGCATCGAACCATTGGTTTTAATAGAATAAAAGTTAATCGTTTTTACGATGAACTAGAAAAAATAACGTTTAATGCTAATGGGATGCAGATTATTCCACCATCAAACTTATTCAACGTAGATGAATCTGGATTGTCTATTTGCCATAAACCAGGAAAAATTGTTGCTCTTAAGGGAAAACACAGTGTTGGTGGCTTAACAAGCTCCGAAAGAGGTAAAACAATCAGAATAGTTTGTTGCCAATCAGCAAGCGGGTTTTTTTGTCCCTCCGATGTTGATCTATCCACGTATTCGAGTGAAACCTGAATTTTTAGATAAAGCCCCAATAGGTTCTATTTCTGGTGGCAGCAAAAATGGCTGGATAACAACTGAGTTGTTTGAAATATGGTTTGATCATTTTTTACAAGCAGTCCAGCCTCAGTCAAGAAACCAACCAGTTCTTCTAATTTTAGATGGACATTCAAGTTATAAAAAAAATCTTAGTGTTATTAAAAAAGCGCGCCACTCAAATGTTATTATTTTATCACTTCCATCCCACTGCACCCACAAACTGCAACCACTTGATGTTTCGTTTTTTAAAAGCCTCAAAATATTCTATGATCAGGAGGTTAGTACTTGGCTTTGTCACCATCCTGGTCGTCCCGTAACTGAACTAGAGGTTGGTGAATTATTTGGAAAAGCCTATGGGAAAGCTGCAACTGTTCAAAATTGTCAGTCAGGGTTCAAAAAATGTGGAATATATCCATTTGATAGAAATGTGTTTACTGAAGAAGACTTTGCTGCAGCCAAGGCTACTGATCACTCGTATGTTGTATCAAAAATTTCAAAACCAAATAATACCTCTGAAATGCACCCTACTCTCAACAATGGGTTAGACTCTGCTAAAGAATTAGATAATATTGATTTTGTTACAGATTGTGTTATTGACACTCAAAAAGGTAAATCGTCATAAATGTTGTATTATTTTTAACATCTTCCGCATTTTATTTAAAATACAAATATGACTTTTTTAAAATCAAGCAAAATATTAACTTATCTGTTAATATTTTGCATTATCTGTTACCTAAAAAAAGGTTTCTTAAAGAAAGTTCAAATTTTTCAAAAACATTTTAACTATTTTTTATTTTATATTTGCATGTTGCCTATTTTTATTCACCCTCTTTAGTTAAATAATTTTTATTTTGAATCTATTTCACCAAACTCATCATTTACACTTCAGAAGTCATCAGAATTAGCCACCTCACACGATGAAACCTCACAACCTTATGGTGTTACATTTGGATCACTACCTGGACTTGACATTAAAAATGCAAAGCGAACAGGTATAAAAAGGAGGGTAAATCATGCTGAAAAAATTACTAGATCACTATATAAATCTCAGCTAGAGGAATCTTTAAACTTGAAATATAAGAACAGACAGCCACGTAAAAAGTGCATTAAAAAAAGTATATCTACTTATCAAAAGACGTGTTTGAAAAACCTTGATGCTAAAGGTGCGATTAATAAACAACTTTGTGCAAAGTGTCAATACAGTTATAATGATCCTGTCGATCCTTATTTAAAAGATAATTGGGATAAATGCCTTAAATGCTGTAGATGGTGGCATGAAACATGTGCTGCTATATGTGGTGTTTATACTAAAAAAGTATTTACTTGTGATGACTGTATAAAGCACTGATTCTTAAAAAAAAAGTTATATGTCATATATTGATAAAATGTGTTTTAACTTTCTTAAATAAATCTCTTGTTAAAAAAGTTTCCTTTGAGTTTTGTTTTTTATTTTTTTAAGTTTAACTATTGAAGTTATGTAAAATATTATTTTATGAACTACTTATGAGCTTTTAAACATAAATTCTTATTTAAACAGAATTTAGAAATAATCATCGAAATCGTAGAAATTAGTAATCGTTTCATTAACAATTATTCTTTGGAAGCACATTTATATTTAATAAGGTTTCTGTTTTGGGTGACATTCATACCTTAATAAAAAAGGTGACATTCTTACTTTAAAAATACATGACATTCATACTTTAATAAAATAAATAGGTGGTTCAAAAATTATTATTTTTTGCAACTGAAACGCCCTTAATTAAGTGCCAATTAGGTGTAACAAATTCTATTTAAGAGACAATTCTTTATACAATCCAGATTTATAGCTGTTTATAATATTTTAAATATATTAATGCGTTTTCAACAAACTTCTTAATTTTCATAACTATGCCGAATTTATCGTACCATAGTGCCGAAAATACCATACTAGGTCGCTAATTTCGTCATTTTTGAGTTTTTTGTAAAACAGGTTTTACGTAAAACTTTGTAAGTTGGAAAAAAATTTTTAACTATTATTTAATAGATATATCTGCAGTATATCGATATGCATGATTTTTTAAAATTATTAAAGCAACCGTTGTCTATAAACAGCAAAATAGCTTAATACGCCGAAATAACCCTACTTTACCCTACTAATCTTGTGTATATATTATTACTAATGCCTTATGAATTACTGTTTTTATTATTATTGATATTAGTACATCAGTTTATTGACAATAACATATTAAAATAATATAATAAATGCTACAGTGTTTTCAATTTTGTTTCGTTGCTTTTGATCAAAGTTTGTTTTTCATTTTTTATTTGCTTATATGTGTTTGCTTTAATATGGCAACTTTCCCATTCCATTAAAAATAATGAGTCATGCTAAGAATGTTATGGAAATTTAGAATGGGTCTTGAGGGTCTCAGTTACGGCAAAAGTTTAATATTTTAACTAATAATATTTGACAATAAATGTTAAAAAAAAATTTTTGAATGAAATATTTTTGAAAACAAATTTTGTAATAAAATTCATAAAATATTTTTTGTTAAAAAGTCTCATTTTGAATTTTGAATATCCGACATTTTTATTAATTTTTTGTTCTACTTTAATTAACTTTTTTTTTGATACTTTGCGACTACCAGATCTCCTCGTCCTAATTTTAAAAGAATTAGAATACTTCTACATAACTTATTGAGGTATGCCAGGATAATATTTATTTGTATGACAATTTAACTTGTGATTCCGGTTCCTAAATTTTGCCAATATATCAATATTAAAAGTTTATCGCAATTTCCTTTTTATAATCTCTTAAGTATATAGTTTTAAATTGGTTTGGCAAAGTTTCTGGAAAATTTTTTGAACTTTCAAAATACTATTGGAATGATTTGCAAAACTTTAATTTAATGGTTTGCAAACCAAACCATATTTTTTTATTCAGAATAGTTTTTATCACAGTTTCACGCTATAAATAAAATATGTACAATTTATAAATAACATTAAAAATAAGCTAACTCTGTCTATACTGAAATGAAGAAGACGTTTGAATTCACTGCATTATCGTAGTTGTTCACATATTGTCTTCTAAAATTGGTGTTAGTACTAACAAGAAGTTTTATATTAATAAAATTACTTAAACCGAATGTCAGCACTATGTCAGCATGTTTTTTTTTTCTTTTCTTTCTTTAACAATTAATCGCTATTAAAATATTTCTTTTTCTTATTTTTTCTCCCTTGTTATAAAGTGATACTCTTTCCATAAACCCTTCTTTCTTGTAATAAAGTAATACTCTTTCAATAAATAGAAAATATAAACCTATTATTTTTCATCACCATCATTAACTCGACCATATTTAATAATTGTAACCTAGTAAATAAATCAGAGAGCAATTAAAATAGAAATAGCGAGGGTTGACCACGTTTGTTTACAGAATAAAGAAAAAAAGTTGTTCCATCAAGTACAGACGCCGTAACTCAATAATGACGCAGGGATAATATTGCAAACACGAAGTTTTTTGCAATACATTAGGTTTGTTTAATAAACACAAAGGTCGATAATTCACAACAAAGACCTTTAAACTGTTTATAGAGAAAACGTATTACTTTTTTATTATTATTTTCTATATTTTTTGTTTGTTTAATGTCGCTTATAACATTTAGTCTGAAAAAAATTAGTTTTGAATTGATTAGTCAGTTGACGTATATCCCATAAACAAATGATCTTAAATTGTATTTCTTATTTATTATACATTTCTTATAAGGTAAATACTGACAGTGACAACAATTGTTATAAAGGTAGAAAAGAAAACTCAGAAAAATAAACAATTATTCAGTTTCAATAATTCTTTTTTTCATCATTCTTGTCATTCACTCTGTTGTGTCATTTCTCATGCCATTCACTTTATCAAATCTTGTCATTTTTTTTTGTCCGTGACATTATTGATCCGTGAAATTTTTAAATATCAATGAATACATAGTGTTGTTTTTACGAACGTCTGTAGGTCGGCTACATAATCTTATAAAGTAAATTTTTACAAGTTAAGTCAAAGATCTCTAAAAGTTAAAACTTTTTATAAAAACTTTAATTTAAGCAGGTTTTAGACTTAATTTGTGAAATTCGGTTTAATTAGTTTATTTAAATACAAATAAAAACAAAATTTATTGTATTTCCGGTATATAAAACTCGTTAAATTGAAGTCATTATAGCATTACAAAACTTTTTCTTTATTCAATTTCGTTTTTTGGTAATCCGAAATACAAACATAATTTAGACAATGCAAAGTATACACATCAAAATAAACTTGATCGTTTTATGTTTATAGCAACGGCAATATAAAATGGAAAATTAGTGAGCATAGAAAACATGTTAGGTGCTACACATAGAGAGAAAAATGCAAATACTTTAGTGCGATCCAGGAGTTTACCTAAAAGAATGTTTCAGAAACCGTTGTTTCGAAGTATGTCAAAACAAATGCATAAAAAAGCCATATCAAATCTCCAAAATCATTCTTCGCTCGGATATCCTGTTTCACCGCAGTCTTATTATACGGGAGCATTGTTTCAATATGGCTCGCATTTTCACGAAGCCTCTAATAAACTTTTGAAGTTTTCAGAGTCTAGAAAAGAATCTCTAACTTTGCCAAAAGTTCATAACGAAAACTCGTATGATGTACCACATTTTGCTTCAAATAGCAAGTATGATTTTGAACCTTATTTGTACGAAAAACGTAAAAGAGCCACTAGCATTCGAAGATGCCAAAGTTTACCTATGTGTTTCCAAGAAAAAGACTTTAATGCTATATCAACAAGTCCGTTAATTTTTGGAGAGTTGAAATGCAGCGAAGATATCTCTGTAAATAAAAATGTAAACCTTTTTAATGTGGTTAAAAAAAGTAACAGTATATTAGAAAAAGTAACTCGAACTCGTAAAGGCTCTTTTTCAAGAAAAGACAGCAATTGTAGTGAAAAACTAGAATTTGACAATCTTTTATTGGAAAATCTCATATCAAATGTGCTAAAAAAATATATTAACTCTAAAACATACAATTCGTCATTATCAAATAAACGATCACGACATTTAAGCAAACTACTAGAGGATATGGTTAGACTTCGTTTAATCAATAGCAACGACAAGTACAAAATTGTAGCTCATGTATTTTTGGGAGAACTAAAAGACTACGGTTTATCTTTTGCTACGCAGTGCTCTTATCATCCAACTGAAGATTTTTTTGCGTCCTCAACATCACAGTCAGAAGATATATTTGTTTGTGCTATTGTTACCGCTATGAAATGCGACGAGGGTTTATTTTAAAATAATGGATCGTTATGTAAAATGCAATATTATGTAAAATTTAAGCAACTCAAACAATATAAGATGCAAAAGCTGGTGAAAAAAGCTGAATTTTTTCCTTTATTAAAATGAATGCGAAAGATTTATTTAAAAAAAAGCATGCTATAAGTGGAAACTTTGGATATAGATTTTATCTTTTCATAACCATCAAAGGCATTTTACAACAATATAAGATTAACGCTTGCCATTGATTTATTGGTGCTGACGAACACTATAATAAAACACTTGGTGCTAATAGATGAAACCTGTCATAGTGTCAAAATGAAAAAGTTAGTTGAAAGAAATATTGAAAGAAATAATATTATAATCTGATGTACCCAAGCAAAATCCAAAATAACTTTATAAGTTGAAGTTTTATGGAGAGTGTGTATATATATATATATATATATATATATATATATATATATATATATATATATATATATATATATATATATATATATATATATATATTTATATATATATATATATATATATATATATATATATATATATATATATATATATATATATATATATATATATATATAAAAGAAGCAAGCCCCCTCCCTACCACCCATCCACACACAAATATTTAAATTTCACGGTTTTTTCAAATCTGTGACGCCGATTTAAAATTGTAGACTTATTTTGTTGTCTTGGGTTTTATATCGAGAACTTTTTATTTTATGAATACATATGACTTTTCTTTTTCTCACACATGCAACCGCGCGCGTTCTTTTAGTAAACTTAGTTCTTTTAATACAAGCATTTAAAGTTAAGATAAAGTAAGAAAACATATGTAAATGTAGATTTTTAAAAGATATGTATATATATTTATAAAGATCGAAAACGCTGATAAACAATTCAATGCATAATTAACGTTTTAATGCATGTTTGTTCTCTTTGTTAATTTGCCGGAAATAAATAAATAAAGATCGAAATACGCTAAGTAATTATAGACAAAATAACTTTTTTAAAATTATACGACATAAAAGCTATAGACCTAAAAATTTTAAAAAAGATTTACGACTTTAAAAAAAGCTATAAATGTTATAAATGCTTTTAGAACATTTAAAAAGTTATAGGACTATAAATTAGGCGTTTTATATTTTGCCACAAGTTGTAAATTTCAAAGTTGTAAGAATTAAAAAAAAATTATTAACAAAAAAAAAACAAAAAAAAAACAACTGTAATAAAAATGTTTTAAAACTAAATAAAAACAACTTATCTTTGCCTCAGCTCAACAATATTTCTTATATACTAACTAAATAAATTTTTATCCTACTAGCTGTATTTATTTAAATAATCAGTAATCGTTAGCAGATAACAGTAACCGTAGAACAATCAAGAGGTTTAAGGTTCAAATCCAACCAACTACTCTGGTAGTACCGTGCACAATCTGGTTCTTCGTACAGCAGCCTTGTTTAACAAGGCTTCTGTTTTGGAGTTTAGATTTAGATTGAGATTAGAGTTGCATATAAATAAAAAATAAAAAAAGGTATCTAGCTACCTCGACTGTCCTGACCTAAATGTCTAGGCGAGGTGAACTAAATTAATAAAAAAAAAAAAAAAAAATAACATCAAAAAAACAGAACGTTAAGGTTAAAGATAATAGCAAATAGTAACAATGTTATCATTAAAACTAAATACGATTTTCCTTAATATTTTGTATTTCAATAAGTATCCAAAAATAACTTAGCTCATTCAATCAGCATGACTAAAGCCACAAGACATTTAAAGCAAACTATTTTGTTACCATTTTAATATTTTGAAGAATTACTATAGGGTAGTTTCGAGTAAATTGACCCAGCTAATATGAGCCAACCAAAAAACCAAAGGATTTCTAAAGTGTGAATGGTGAAGTTCAAGTTGCTTTGCAGTTTTTGAATCTACTTTATGTGGTGATAATAGAAAGCAGTAAAATTAGCTTAAATTTATATGCATTAGTGTCTTTCATGTAATTAAAACGCTATTAACTTTTTTGTATTGTTAAAATATATCATTACACATAAGAGTACCTGTGGCGCGAAATTTAGATTACTTTTTCATTAAAAAAATATATTAGCTGGAAATTTGTTCCATTTTTGTTTGGAAAAAAATGCATGAAAACATTTATAATTGACTTTATTTAAAAATACTTTTTTTGTATAATACGTGCATGCTCAAATTACCCAGTGTTTTTTATTGAAATTTTAAGTTTAAAGTCCTAAAATTGCGGTAGTTTTAATTTCTTTTTGAATAAAAGCAAAATATAGTAAACATTTTGAATATATTAACAATACTAAATATCTTTCTGTAATTTAAATTTAAAAAAACTTTTATCGTTTAAAGGTTTGAGTAAATTAAATTGAAAAAAAAAAAAAACTTTGTTTTGCGTAAAACAAAGTTTTATTGTTTTAATTGTGACTTTTTAAAAGTGACTTAAAATTTGATCTTTTGAGGGATTCGTTATTAATAACGAATCTTTATATGCCACTCATTTGTTCTAATTGTCAGATTTGTATTTCTTTACTTAATTAATGTTATTTTTTGTGAGCTAATTTAAAGTGCTCATATTATCATGTGGTCTGGGTAACACGAGCACTTTCGCTACTTAAATCCTTTGTGTTTTTAAGAAAAGGTTTGATCCTAAAAATTATTTATTTGCAAAATTTTGGATTCAGCACCATTGTTCTTAAAAATATTCTAATTTTCGCTGAAGGTGCTCATAATACCCCAATCTAGTAACTAGTATTACCCTCAAATGACCCGAAGCTAGTCACTAATATATATTTTTTAAACTTAACTAGGAACGAAATGATTCTGGTATATTTAAAGCATTAAAAAAAAAAAAAAATGAAAATAAAATTAAATTACAAAAGATACAAATAAATTATAAATAATAGATAAAAATTGAAATTAAAAAATTAAAAATGTATAATATTTTTTATTGTAATATAAAAAATTAGAAATTTATAAAACTTAAAAATAAAATAACGTAATATTGAAGGTAATATATAAAATTAGAAATCTATAAAACTTATAATGAAGGTAATTTGCTCAACCAACACCTCATATTTTTTGAATTACTTAAGCAAAAATTTATTTTGTTTATTTATGCCCAGTGGACATTGAGTAGATAAACAAATACTTAGTTGAAAATTTACAAATATATTGTTATTTTTTATTTGTTTTTTTTTTTTTTTTTTTATTGTTATTGTTAATTTTTTTTATTGCAACTGCATTGTAAAACCTCAAACACTTGAACTTTTTTAATTTAAATTCTTTATAAATTACTTCATTAAATAAAAATTTTTTAATATTATTACACGATTCTCACTGTAAACTATTACACTTCCCCCCTAAATTATTAGAAAAGCAACGATTTTCTCATACACTATTTCAGTTTTAAAACATTTGATTAAGTTTTTGTCAAAACAGGATTTGTAATACAAATAGTGGATCAAATGTCAATGTTATTAGAATGGGAGGACACTATAAAAGAAAATTTGTAAAAGCTGAGTGTATTGTGATTACAATTTTTAGAGATGTCGGTCTACGAAAATCCTAATTGTGGTCGTTGTGGAAAGAAAGTTTATCATGCGGAGCGAATGGCTGGTGGGGATACCTACTGGCACAAAGTTGGATGTTATACTTGTAAAGTATGCAACGTTAGGTTATCTTCAACTACAGTAGCCGAAGCCAATGACGGTATAAGCTTAAAATGATACAGCTTGTTAATTCTTCCACCCTAATCTTTAACTTTTCTTAATATATTTTATTAATTCTTGTGCTATTAGTAATATTAAATTTATTAATTTATTTTTGTAACATGCTTATATATATATATATATATATATATATATATATATATATATATATATATATATATATATATATATATATATATATATAAATTAGTATTTATAATAAAATTTATCAATTTATTTCCATATTATTATTTTATATTTATTTTAAATTAATGATAATTTTTGATAAATTATTTTTTAACTCTGATGTTATCACGATAACTTTGAGGCTTTTTTATATTTTAGAGCACGAAATATACTGTAAGTCATGTTACGGTAAACTAAGAGGTCCTAAAGGATACGGTTATGGCGCAGGGGCTGGAACTTTAAGTATGGACTCTGGTGGTAAATACGAAAGTCATACTGGGCCTCTTGTATCAAGTGATTCGCAGATTTATTTTGGGGGAAATAAATGCCCAAGATGCGGTGGCTCTGTTTATCATGCAGAAGAAGTCATAGGAGCTGGATGTGTATGATATACTTCTGTTCATCATTATAAATTGAAAAGTTTTTTCAATTTAAAATGATATTATATATGATACTAGTTGTAAATTAGTTTTAATTATGCTAATTGAAAAAATTTTAGATAAAAAAACTTACTTTTAAATTATAAGTATATTAACACAATAATTTTTTTATCTTATGAAATTTTTTTTTTTCAAAATGTTGTAGTCTTGGCATCGACATTGCTTTAGTTGCTTTATTTGTAAAAAGAAGCTGGATTCTACAAACTGCCAAGAAAATGATGGTCAAATTTACTGCAAATGTAAGTTAAAATGAATATTTTTTAGTAAGCGTTACCTCTATCTTAAAACTGTTTCTCTGACAAATAAAAACATAAGAAATAAATAACATAGAATGAAAAACGTTGATAGTAAGACTACGGCTTTTTGTTTTAGGTTTTATTTATTTTAAAAAACAGCTGGGACTTAAAATTTAAGAACCTTATAAAAAACATTATTAAAATAACATAACATTCCATAAATTCCACAAATACTGATACCACCCTAAATTTCATCGATGTTAAATACACCCAATATTTTACACAAATTGGACTCATTATTATTTTTTTTTTTCAAATAATAATAAAGATAACTTAGCAATTAAAACAAAAAATTTTGTATGAACGATATAATTAAAATTGATTCAATTTAAAAATTAGTATAATGAGTCAAAGTGTAAACAAACGATTTAACTTTGAAAAAGTTTTCTTTGTTATTTTTCTTTAAAAGTTGAACTATCAAACTGTCAAGTAACTGTTAAAGCAAAATAATTACAATGTGTGGCTTTTTTTTATTGTATTTACGTTTTTATTAATGCGCTAGATATAAGATTATTTTACAATATTGCATGTACCATATATTGTGTGTATTGCACACACACACATATTCTATAATTTGCAATATTGCCAATCATGTGAAATTTTTTGTGTGTAAAATTTTGGAAAAACTTCATGTTTGATTTATAACTCCTACTCGTAGATTTATTGGTTGGCGTAAAAATACTATTCGCGTTTAGTAACAAAATAATCTAAATAAGTCAGAAAGAATTTTTTTTCTCTTTTTAATTTGTTTTTAATTTTGATCTTTTAAAAAAAATTCAAAAGTTTAACATAAAAGTTTCAACAGGTATAAAAAAACAAACAAAAAAAAAAACAATAGTTTTTTATTGAAAATTTTCTAAATTAAAAAACGTCTGTTTTATAAACTTAATTAAGATAATTTTTAAAATCTTATTGGTTGCAGAGGTGGATCCAGACAATCTAGTTAGGAGGAGGGGAAGCGATTTTTATATATTTTTGATTTTGTGGATTCTGACCATCTTGGAAACAAAGGAGGGGGGGGGGAAGAAGGGAGCAATTTTATGATTCGGTGAATCTAAACTCTAATAAAGTAGCAAATGGGCGGCAGGAGGGGGTAATATTTATATTTAAATTATAAAACCTTTTTAGTTAGTTTTTTTAGAATTTTTTTTAAACAGTTTTAATCTATGCAACTATAATGAAATGACGTTGATATTGACGTTAAATGACGTTATATTGATATTCCAACAACCCAATTTTTTTTTTGCATCACACAAACTAACTAAAATTTCTTATCAATTGTAAACAGCCACCCTACTTTATTTTTAAACAACATGTCTTGTTAAATATATAAGTTTGCAATAAAAAGTTTGCTTCTAAAATATTTTAAGAGGAAGGGGCGGGGGCAAAGACAATCGTCGCTATTGCCTCCTTTCCTATAGATCCCCCCTTTTATTGGTTGTTAAAACAATAACAATAACAATAACAATAACAAGCAACAAGAAGCTTATATAATTGTAAGTAACTAACAATCATAAACTTTTATCTATTTTTTGATTTAGTTTAAACTTTGTGCACACGCGATATAAATATAATAAACAGATATGCGGTATTCGTTAAAACTTTTTGTTAATTTTTATTTCAGCGTGTTACGGTAACCAATTTGGACCAAAAGGCTACGGATATGGTGGAGGAAGTGGAGTTTTAACACACACTACTTAGATCAATTTTTTAAAGAAATAAACATTACCGTTGTATTATAAAATATTTCCAATATATGATATTTATAACATTTTTTTTTAAAGTATATGTTTTTAAGTATAACAAGTCTAACAAAACCAAGTAAATTGCTCAGTTTATAAAAATGGCTTTAATTCGCGTGTAAAGATTGATAAATCTTTATTTGGTTAGATAAAGAGCTTTTTATTGTTTTACACAAAAGGCCGGGTGAATAAATTGCTTTTTTTGAGCAATTTATTTACCCCAAATTGAGCTTTTACTCAGTAATTGGCCAGCTTTACGTGAATAAAAACTTCAGCAAAATTGAATAAATTTTTATTCACGCAAAACTGACCAATTACTGAGTAAAAGGAATTGCTCATTTTTATTCACCCAGTTTAAATTACCATAGCAAAACTCCTAACAATAATTAATGTTTATTTTAAAACTAATGTTTATCGCGGTGCATAGGAACATGTCTGAGACCTTGCGACGCATCCCCAGAATTTTTTTTTGTTTATTATTGAAGACTTTTCCTGATTTCAAAAATTTAAAAATCAACTTTTTTCACCAGGGGCCTGGGAAGAAATTACGTATTTCAGGTGAGTGCTTAGTAGTTTTGTTGTTCAAGATACGTAGCTAAAAGCTATGTGGCATACTCAAATTTTCAGTATTTTAGTACTGGTATCAAATGAGGTTGACTTACAAAAAGTTTAAGTAATTTGAGCTAACCCGATCCCGTCCCGGCCGTAAAAAAAAAAACTTCTGGTCTATATAGTTAAATTATTATTTATATTTTGCATGTCATATATCATTATATCATATATCAAGAAATTACGTTAAACAATTGTTCATAAAAAGTTAATATTATGTTTTTTACAAGCTACTAGCAAATTGAAAACTACTTTAAAAGTGTTTGCAGTTGTAAGCAACAACTGCATTTTTTAGCGCTTCAATACAGTTTGGGCTGTGTTCTGCAACACTTCTCATTCGTCAAATCTGATTGAAATCCTGGTGAATGGATTCGAGAGCTTGTTCGGCCCAGTAACCTAAGCCTAAAGAATATAAAATTCACAAAATAAGTTTTAGTCTATTTAATGAATAATCGTCATATTTTATGCAAGTTTGCATAAACTATGACGATTACTTCATATTATTACAATAATACAACTTGTATAAACTGTTGTATTATTGTAATAATAAGTATTTTATTACTATTATTATAATTAAATAAAATTATTTATATCTTATGAAAAACTTAAAATTTATTTATTATACCGTAGACTCCACCTTTTATGTCGATGAATTCGATAATATGTTGCTCAACTATGTGTACCTTCAAAAGAATTGTAGGCCCTAGATTTCTATAGCTCGTAGAGAACTGCTCTACATCATTGACATAAGTAGCTCTAAAAAGTACCTTAATGTATTTAGATACGGGATCTCCAAGACTGGACTCCTGAAAAAAACAGCTCGAAGCTGTCTATGTTTTTAAGCAACTTATTGCAAGTATTGCCTTCCAAACAATGCTACCCATGGCAGGATACTTTGTAGATGTTTATTGTAGACAGATATCGGTTGACAAACTGTAACCAACACTCCTTGTTTTCAAACTAGTTTTTTTCAATCTCTTTTAAAATTTTGTCTATAACACCTAAAAGTATATGCAGACTGGGAATATTTACAAACTCTGTTATCTTTTTATTTTTGTCCCCTTATTAACCCCCTGTTAATAAAGGGGGTTGAACAACATTTTTGAACATTTTTGCATTTTTTATTTTTCCACCATCAGATACCATTGGTCGTATAATCTGCACAAAGGTTCTAAAGAACAGTGATCATCTTTTTGAAAGTTAGGAGGTGAGGTCACGGAAAAGTGTGCATTTTTGTTTGATGTTGCAGTTTGTTTTTCAACCATTTAAGGCAAAACCTTTAGACCTTTAAATACTGTGTAATCTAAGGTAGAAATATTTAATTTATTAAAAGTTATCCGCAGATTATGGTATTTTTTGTTCAATAAAAGCAAAAAGGCAGTATAATAGTTTTATGTACGTATCTTTGAATTCTTTGAACGCATATCCGTCACCCTTTCTCAATTTATTTGGGATTTTATTATTTTCTAGCTCTGGTTTTAGAGTGATTGATAGAGTAACTTTAAGGAATCCCTGTCCTTCATCTACACCTAATTTGTATCAACATCATTTGGTTCTTGATGTCTGTGATGAAGCACCATTGCTACAAGCTCTTCAACATCACAGAAATACACCATAGGGTTATCTTTTTCTACCAACTATTTATGAAAAAAAATTCAAAATTAAAGATGCAGATTGCATTCAAGTTATTTTTAAAAGTTGTAGGTATTAGATTACTTACCTCTTTGTTAACATTTACTTCTAATAATAATGGGAGTTTACTACCATTGAATACTTTGAGTCAGTTTAATATGTAAACCAGATTCCACACTTTTCTGTCCTCCTTCCCTTCTCAAAAAGTGTGCAACTTCAATCATATTACCATTACTTAAAAGTCATAACAAAATTATTTAAAAATTGGCTTTAAATTCATTAATAAATAATAAAAAAAAAATTTTAAGCATCCAAACCTTACCTGATATGAAGTTTTAGTTGAAGTTTGTTCAATTTAAAGAAAAGGAAGGTTTTTTAACTTCAGTCTTTCCGACAGAGACAGAAAGTTGTTTTGAACCAAACGTTTTCAAAGTTATAGTGTTCCTCGATTCATTTGTGTTCAAGCTTTAATAGAACTACCTTTAATAGAACTGGACAGAACTTTTCCTTGCGTTGCAGAGGATGTTGATCTTACAATGGCCGTCTATTTTTTTTGTCTTTCTTACTTTGTACATGAATGTGGAATCTTGTGACACTTAAACTTAGCAATCTGGACAAATAAATCTTTTTCAAGTTAATATGAAACGGCTTTGGCACCTTTATAAACAAGTTTTCCCGAAACACATTCAACCAAAGGGGCCAAGATTTTTTTATTTTTGATTTGTGCCCATTTTCACATATAAAACATTCACATTTCTGCCTCTCATAACAGGTCTAAATTTCATTGCGTATGTTTAGTAACTATTGTTGCCATAATAATGTAACTAAATTTTAACTAAAGTACATTATATACAAATACATATATTTTACCTTCATAACACGGTCACATTGTGAAGTTAGTGTCAGTCCCAGCAAGCTTTTTTATATTTTTTGAGCAAAGCATGGTAGGAAGTTCTAAGTTATTACCTGAATAATCTTTCCAGAATTTTGTTTTGATAAAGTTTGATTAGTATTTTGTCTTTTTATCTAAATTTATATATGTTTTTTTGTCATTATTTATTGGTCTTAAGTCCTTGCGCTTCCTAAAGCAACAAATGCAAAACATTTAAAAAATCAACGTGTTCTTTTGCATGGTTAGGCATTTAAAAAGAATGCTTCAAATAAAAACTTCTGATGCGCATTTATAATATTGGCTAGGATTGTTCGCCGAAAAACAAAACTTGCGAAAATTTCGCATCTTTATCTACCGTAATAGAATTGTTATTACGGAAGTTGCACATGCGAAAATGCACATTCCGTAACGCGGTATACGAAAATATAAATAAATAAAATTCCGTAATAAAGCATTGCGAAAGAAAACTTGCCAAACAAATCATTTCGTAAGAATACTTACGAAATAGTTCCTTACGGAAAAAGCATTCCGGAATGTGTAGTTACGAAAAAGACGCAAAAGATTTTATGTTACGATATATTTAAGATATTAACCGTTAACAGTTTAAATAATAAATAATAAAATTATAAAAAAATGTTGTCAAATGATTCTTCAAATGTTTATACAAATATACCTAATATATATATATATATATATATATATATATATATATATATATATATATATATATATATATATATATATACATTAACGGGATTTTACTGTATATATATGTATATATATATATATATATATATATATATATATATATATATATATATATATATATATATATATATATATATATATATATATATATATATATATATATATATATATATATATATACTTATATATACAGTAAAATCCCGTTAAGTTGGACTCTCAATGAATAGATAAACAGTATGCCTTTCTTTTTAAAAAGTATAAAGAGGATGTGTGATAAACAATTAAATACTTTATCATAAAGAACGAGAGATCTCTCTAAAGGTAAATGATATCAGAAAGAGTAAAAAGAGAAGAAATATATGTGAAACAGCGGGATGTGAACCTGGGTCTACGCGGCCAAATGTCTTAACTGAATGAGCTATACGTTCATTCAACTAAGAGAATAGTAATATTTATTTAATATATAATTTGAAACTATATAAAACAGAATTTACAGAAAGAGATACGTATGCAAATAGGATTCTATATATCAGGAAAATGAATAGTAATGTGAACCTTTAGATGCTTATAATTAATATCTGGACTCAAAAACTAGTTACTTTTAATGGAACACAATAGGCTGTAGGAGCCTCAGGGAAATTATATTCAGAAATGGTTATATTAGACTCAGAGTTAGCTAGAAATTATTACAAAGTATTTAGGACAGATGTCTAGTACAAAAAGCAAAAGGTTTAAAGCAAAATGAATTATATTATTTGAAAAAATTGTTTTACGTACATTTCATCATAATTTAAGTAGAACTTAGTAAAGCAAGGGAAACGTGTTGAATTAAGCACAATGAACTCAATCTTAAAAGAATAACTAACAGAAGAGAGGTTGTCACTATTGTGAAGGCGACGAAAGATCTGTAATATAGAACATGGAGGTCAAAAAATGCTATCTTAAGTAAAAAGAGTTTGATGAACAAAAGTTACAATAACTGCGGGATGCGAACCCGGATCTCTGCGGCGAATTATCACGTATCTAACTGATTGAACTATACAATCTTATGCTCAAATTTATATCTTATTAAAATTAAAAAACAAAATTTTCTATCATCTATACTTTGAAAAGCGTATTCAATCAGGACTCTACATACCTTTAAAATCTGCTAGAATTTTAGTAACGTGCACACTTTTAGAAATTATT